TTGGCCAAGATCAATCGAACGATGTCCATCTGCTTCATTCAAATGGAGCTTCGGACTGCGCATCTTGATCGAAGATTTCACTTGACTTCGTAAGATCACGTAGTGCCACTAAACTAAGGAAAATTTCCCTCAAAGACAAAGTAGCAACCCTAAGGAGTCTCTGAATAAATAGGCAAAAAAACCCAGAGAGTCAAAATGAATGTCTGGCACACCGTCAATTCATTGGATATCATCAACTAGAGTATCTCAATCAATTTCTCATAATTAATATACATAGCAATTGATTGTCATCAAAATCGATCAGAATAAGCATGTCTAGAACGAGGGAGGGTTTTGGTGATACCAATAGTTACATTGCCATCTGGACTACGGTAGATTACCAGATTTTTATCAGTAATAGTATCAGTAAACTGTTAGGTGTCGTTAAGGAGCACTGCGGTCCACTAAGTCGTTCAGTTATGGGCATCTTAGCTAGCAATTGTAGTGGGGTTAAGGTTAGGGTTAGATTAAACATATTGTTTTGTATATATGGCCAAGGCCAAAGCTAAAATGTTATCTGTCTTACTTGTTCTGACTGAACCTTGAATCTTTACATGATATAAGAGCGAGGTTTTCACACTCAGCTGTTAGTTTTCTTCCTTGAAGTCTTGTAAGATCAATCAACACTTCAGATAAGAAACAAGGTAGTGTTCAGATAATAGAAGCCTGTTCAGGAGTTGTGTAGGAGTCGAACAAGTTAGAATTGATTCTAGAAATGTTTCCATGGAAAATTTCTCCACGTTTGAAGAAAATGCTAACTAAAGCATATGAAGTTTTAAAATGAGGAACATGCTTAGTAGAGAAAATACATGGAGGCTTGTTGACCCACCTACAAATACTGCAGCACCAACGACTCGAGCTAAGATTGTGGCGCTTCAGCTACTGAAGAACAAGGCTTTCAGGTTACAAGCCTCTATGTATCTTTTTTTCTAAGCATGTTACTCATTTTAAAACTCCAAACGATGTAGTTGGAGTTTGCTTCCAACTTGGAGCAATCTCCTATGGAAATATCTCTAGAAGCCATTTTAACTTGTTCGACTCTTACACACCTCCTGTACCTATTCTATTGTCGAATCACTAGTTTGCTTTTGCTTCTGAAGTGTTGACTGATCTTACACGACTTTAAGGAAGGAGACTAATAATTGAGTGTGAGAACCTTGCTCTGATACGATGTAGAGACACAAGGTTCAGATAGACCGATTAAGAAATATAACATTTCAACTTTATTCTTGACCATATGTACAAAACAGTGGATTTAACCTAACTCTAACCCTAACCCTACTATCATCGCTAGCTAAGATATGCATAACTGAATAACTTAGTGGACCGTAGTGCTCCTTAACGACACTTAATAGTTTACCGGTTTTGGTACTAGACCGCGGTACAGATGGTAGTGTGAGCTATTGGTATCACCAACATCCTCCCTCTTGTCCTCTACTCGCATCAAAATTAGGTTCTCACACTAAGTTGTTAGTCTCTTTCCTCAAAGTCTTGTATGATCAATCAACACTTCAGAAGCAGAAACGAGTGGTCAAACAATAGAAGCAGGTGCAAGAGGTGTGTAAGAGTCAAACAAGTTAAAATGGCTTCTAAAAATGTTCCATGGAACTTTTGATACCATGTGCGCGCGGTTGAATTTCACAATTCCACAAAATCTTAGATCTAGTTGACATTCGACGGTGAAGTTATGGTTATCGCTACATCAAGCTTCTACAACCTAAACTTCTTCAAACCGTCATCGTTGTGGCTAAAACTTTGCAATCATGTGCGCTCGGTCAGATTCAATAAGACCACAAAATTTCATTTCTAGTTGACACTCTAGTGCAAAATTATGGTTACTACAACATCCAATCTCCACAACCTAAACTCAAAGCTGCAAATTTGATAACTTCTTCAAAATTGCTTCCATCGTGTCTGAAACTTTGCACTCATGTGCGCCAATCAGAACTTGATAGCTTTACAAAAACGCAGCTCCATTTGACACTCCATTGCAAAGTTATGGCTATCGTAACTTCTAGCTTCCATAATTTAAAGTCAAAGCTCAAATTTGACAACTTCTTCAAATCGCATTTGTTGTGACTGAAACTTTGTAAGCATATGTGTGCGGCCGAACTTGACAACTGTATCCAAATATAGCTTCAGTTGAGACTCCAATTCGAAGTTATGGCTACCGCCGTAGTCGTGTTCCACAATCTAAACTCAAAGCTCTAAATCAGTATTTGTGCATCTCACACAATGCCTCACATGACCTTTTTTGAACTATTTAGCAACCAAAAAACTCTCGCTTGCAATCATATGAGTGGATTCACAATGTGTTGAGATTGAAAGAAGTAGAGAAAAGGTTGCTAACAAGTGTAGTGCACAAAGTAGTACAAACAATGAATGGAATGAGAAGTGTGATACATATTCAAATTTATAACTTTCAAAATAACATATGATCATAAACATCAATTATCATGATCTTTTCTTTAGTTGTATAAATAAAAAGTAAAAGAAAAAATTTTGCAACAAATTTTTAAAAGAATTTGTACTAATCAATGTTTCGTCTATAAAAGTGATTTTTTATTTTACATTGAAATACTTTTGAAAGTTTTGATTAAATGACAAGTGAATTGAAATTGAAATTTAGAGTAAAAAAAAAGATTTGACATTCATGATGAGCTATTTAAAAGAGAAAAATCTCATCATCATCATACTTCAATTTTTGTCAATACATGAGATGATAAATATCATTGAAACACACATGGAATAACGATATGTGCTTTTCAACTAACACATTCAAAACTTGATATAATTCTTTACGTAAAATTCACAAAATTTTAAAACACTAGTAATATGAAAAGATCATAGCTCTATCATTGTGAGATCATCACAAAAACATTCAGGATCTACACTAGTGTAATGTTCAAAGTAGCGAGCTAGATCTCATAGCCCTAAATAGTCAACATTTCACAAAATTTAATGCACGATTCTCCCTCAACACGATCAATAGTTGATAATTCTCGTGACAAGATTTTATATTAACATTTTACTTCTGAACTCATGAAAAGTATATAGTAGACTTCATAACTATATAATTACTATACAAAACATCATAGAAAAAATAATTTACATAGTATAATCTTCAAGCTAGAAATAACTAGAATCAAACTGTAGTCAAAACAAGATAGTATCAAACTATATAGAAGTAACTAAAATTGTTTGGAAACTCTACTTGTGCTTGTAGTGTGAAATTATAATAGTAGAATAATGTCTCTAAAACTCTATAAATAAATAATTTTGATGAACAGATTAATTGAATTGAATTTATTGTCAAATTTGATTAACACAATCATATTATAAAAAATTACATGTTTGATAAAATGATACTTGATATTGATGTGCTTTACTCTAGTGTCTATCATTTTAATTGAAACAAAATACAACACATTTTAGTTATCATAGTGAAAATTGACTCAACTTCTATTGTAGATTAATTTATATATCTTTGCAAGGTACTATATTCATCAACGAATGAATGTATATACCAAGTTGTAGATATTTTTTTTATCTAGATTTTTTTATGATATTTGTAGCGTAACAATTTTGGCATTGTTTATAATCTATTAAACAACAAATTATAATTTTTTACCTTTAAATTACACAAAAATCTATTTCATTATTTTATAATATCTATTCTCTGGATTCGACATGAATCTTTTCACCTTATCCATAGTTGAAATAAAATCAGATCTTGTGCATAAAATTGTGCAGATTTTATGATATAAATTTTTTGTCTAAAACTTTGAAACAAATTTTTTTTTATATATCTTCATAAACAGTTTGTATAAGATATAAATGATATAATCTTCTGGAATCTGTAATCAGTTTTATAGTTATAATCGAATATCTGCATTCTCATACATTATAAGATACAATCAAAAAAATCTGCATATAAGAGATTGAACCGATCAATCAAATTGATACGAAGCAAAATAGATTGAATCAGACAAAAAAATTTAAAACTCTATGAGCATTGAATTAAAAAATGTAACTCAAATATGCAAATCCAGATTGATAAAAACAAAAAATTATTTTTCATGTGTGTAAAGTACATTGTAGTTTTCCAAATATCATTTCAAATTATTATATGACATGAAAGTATGATTATATACTTAAAGTTTATTTTAAATATTTTTATGAAAGAAGTGCAGTAGAATAAAGATTATTAGGAAGAATTATGTTAGTTATTTTAACTCAGTTGAAGACTTGAAAATGTGTATTTTTATGTGAAAAGGTTATGACCTTTACAAATGACCTTTGTTCACAAGTTGAAAATCGTCAGTATTAAACTTCGGCAAAATGTACGATATGAAGTAAGTTTATGGTAAAAAATTATCAGAGTAAAACTGAAATTCTCATCTGACCAATGTAATAGTAAATATATAACCTGTAGTTATTTATTCCGATACAATGCATATAGTTCAAAATTTCCATTAGGATTTGTGTAAATGACAGGAATACACTCGACTTAACTGTCATCCGGAAACGTAAAATCATCATATTTTGTACGTAAACTACATTTCAATGACATAAAATGTATATAATACAAAACATTAATACTCAAGTCCAAATACTCAACTAAAGAGTTGAGTATTTGAAAATTTCTCGTTCTCAAATTACTTTCAGGTGTTCAAGTGTGTACTAAATTCAAAGCTAATATATGAGTGGAAACCTTTGCAACTTCATGCAGATTGTTAATTAACGAGGAAAACAATAATCGACATGGGCTTAGTGCGTCTGGTAAGATGACTTATGAAAAGAAGAGGACAAACATTGTGACTGATAGATAAAAGGTAGAGGCAAAACACAAGTTCACGTTGCTACATACATACTGATTAAAACAAGCTACGTAGGAACAGAGACAAAATACCAAGGAGTCCAACCAAGGGGCATATGCTATCAAAGACAAAAAATGAATGGCTTGATTGTTTAAACATGCTGATAAATTGCAATTATGATATCTCATCCCTTGTGGGACTTTGGAGTTCCTAAACTAGAATCGTACATGCCTACTACCAGAAAGATCCCAGCGGGTTTGACCAGCCAGGAGAGTATATCATCAAATATAAACGCGCGCTAACTTCCATGCACCTCAGAAACATATTGAAGCCGAGGGCGTTCAAACCTTCCTTCCTCAAAAAATCCCCGTCACGCAATCGGTACAAAACTCGTTGGGAGGAGGTGGTCTGCAGTTTCTCTAAACTTTCCAATTAGATATGCCGGGAAGAGAGCGTCAGCAATAAATTTCATAAACAGAGTCATCTAAAGTTCATCATGTTCTGTCGGCTTCGACTCTTGATTCATTTCTGCACCTTCTCCTTGTGGTACAGTCTCCTCAATCTTCTCTTCTTGCTTCGCTGTGTCATCCACCTGAGAGGACTCAGAAGGTTTTGTTTCGGCTTCAATATTCTCTGTCGGCTTCTCAACCTTAGGCTTGGGCTTTTGCAACTTACTTAATAAAAGCACCTACAATGAAACGTTCAGACAAAAGCTTTAACAGACAGTCATGACGAAGTCATTGTGCACATAACAAATAGAAAGCCTACATAAGAGAAGATCTATTCGGCTCTAAACTTAGAAAGAACGAGAAAAAGTACTAATCGATATTTCAGTCAACGGAAATTTTTTTCTCTTCTCTACATCCTTGCGAGTTCGCCTATTCTTCAAGTGCAGGAAACCTTAAAACAGCTGAAGGAAAACGCAATAACATATTCACATGAACTTACTTTGCCTCTCAATCGGCTCACTTCCGTATACACAAGATCCGATGTGAAAGCTGGCTCGACATGTCCGGAAAGCCTGCACGAGTGTGCCACATCGGATGTCAGCGAACTAACAACCCAAACCATCAAAATCAAAAGTCGCATAAGACTCGAGTATTCAATTTTGTGGTTGGACAGATGTAACAGCTAGCAGCTAAAAGGGTTACAATGTCTTACTTGGATTGCTTGCTTTCCATATCATCCAGCCACTGCCTCAATGACTCCACCTCCTTTCGCACCTGTAATAGATCATGCCATTTCCGCGAGATCAGTAATCTTTATTGTTGGCTTTGCGAGACTTCGGTCCCTCGATTATTAGCTCATCGCCACACCTACGTAGCTATCTCCAGGTGAGCTAATAATTGAGCCACTGCTCATGGACATAACGACTCTTACACTGCTTAGGAATGTCTTCATTTTCAAGAGCTAGCATTTGTACTAAGTACCAGACGGTATTACTTAATTGGCATAATCGGTGCTTAAGAGCTTGTTAAGTGGAAGAGCTTGGAGGTGGAAAGACAGGAATAATGAACGTACATCGTCTTTGCTCTTCACTGGTATCCACGGTTTACTTTCCTCCCACTCTTCAAGAGTCTGTGAAAAGGTCAAGGTCAATTATCAATGGCAGTTCGGTATGGACGAGGTACAAACAACATGAATGACTGTGCAGTGCGGTACATATTTTACAATGTAAGAGGTTTATTTTGGCACCTCGGTGATTGTCTTAAGATAAGTCCGTGCCTCGGAAACTGCAGCGGGTCTGGCAATGAGCTCGTCTAACCTGTCACAAAAGTTCCACTCAAATGTCACATCTTTGAATCTGTAGGCAAGTTTAATCTTCTACAAACAGAACATGAATGTCATACTGTTAGAACAACTCTTTAGAAGCCTTCGTCTAATTCTCGCCATAGTTGACCCTAAAACGATTAAGCTCCTCAAGCTGAAATTTACATAATCGAGCATCAGCCTTATGACATGAGCATATTCAGAAATGTGGCTACTGGATTCATCCACTCGCTGCATCAACGTCACTAAAATGGATATGAACAAACTCGGCCTATGGCGTAACCTACAAAGGTCTTGAGCAAAAGAGCAAAAGATACCTGGAGAATATGGCATCGCCACTTTTCTTGAGACCATCCAGCTTTTTCTTGAACTCCGCAGCTGTGGCATCCTCACCATCCGTGTACAGCCAATCTTCTGCCTGTTGAAAGGAGAGTAAGCTAATGAGGTTGGGAATGCACACGCTTGGCACTTCCATACAACCTTGGACTTAAGAGTCACAGCTAAAGTTGGAAGAGTTTGAAACAAGGTACCTCATTAAGCTCAGCCCGTAGACTATCCCGCTGCTCCTCCGTAGAAACTGTTTCAATACCTTCCAATGATTCCAACTGCGAGTAAACTGAACTTGTCAGTCTGGTGTACGAACAGCTTTTACAATTCACAATTTGTTGTCTACAAGCAAACCAAAAGAAAGGTGCAACTTATCCATGAACTGTCAAAAATTGAAGGGACAAATCTAATGAAGAGTATCCACCTTGTCCTTGGTAGCATAAATATATGCTTCCAAACTGTTCTTGGCCTCTGCTGTCTTTCTTTTCTCTGCATCCTTTAGATGAAGTTTTTCCATACGTGCTACAGCCTCCTTAATATCCTTCTCCGAGAGGCGCATATTCGGTCCCTTACTAAGATCCTTGATCTGAGATTGAGAAACTTTGCTTAGTACAAGTAGATGAAGTCTTGGTTCTTTGCGAGTTGATAATAGTGCCAAGTAACCATCTCCATCTCATAACGAAAATAAAAGATGAAGGTCCCGGTCAACCAAATCAAACATCTCTCTTACTCACCTTCAACGGAATTCTAATAGTTCTTCTGCGAAGTTTCTTCTTCACTACGGGTTCGGCAACAGGACTATCCTTGGACGGCTCGCCTTCACTCGATACACCACTCACGTCGCCAGCTTCAGGTGAGCTATCAGCCTGCGTTTGCTTCACTTCTTCACTTGACAGCTTGACCTCCTCATCCTTCGCTTCTTCAGGTGAACCTGCGCCTTCTTCGGTAGACTTCGCTTCAACGGTAGCATTGACATCAGTCGTTGCATTAGCTACAGGAACCTCGTACCATTCCGAGATTTCCACAACGGTCTCAGCCTTGTCCAGAGAGATTACACCACTTCGGCTCAAGGAGAAATGGAGAGAAGTTTTCAGAGGAGCAGACACGTTATATGAAGCATATCTGTACAGCCAAAAATAGTTCACGTTCAATATCTGATTGTTGATAGAGTCAAATCAAGTAGGTGCACATGGCACATATCCAAGCACGCAAGATCTATGTTTTATGAATCTAGCTGACTGGTGAAGATTGATGACTGGAGAAGATATTTCCTGGCTCAAAATGCGAATAACCATACCAGAAGAGCCACTCACCATCCAATGATAAGTTACAATGATAGATGTTATAAGGCATGCAGCTTGCACATAATTATCTCTGGCACTTACTTGTTAGCTGCGTCAGCAACTCCTGTAATCTGGTACGTGGCAACCTCTGGAGAAATGACTCCAGGTGGTAACAAAGTAGCATCATACTTCAGTGCTACTTTGAAATCACTCTTTTGGTTTTTCAGAGCACGATACGCCTAAGATAAGAGAGCAGAGGGAACCAGGTGAGCAAGTAAGCGTTCTAAGACTCTTCTGATATTCATGCGCATTCATACGTATGCCTTAATATGTTTCTCCCTTTTAACCCGAAAATCTACAGTCAGTTAACATATGTTTCTGCAAGTCTCTTAAAAAAGAAGGAGAGGCGAATAAGCGTAGAAAACTTATGTTCACAAATTTTGATCCCGAAGTGCTTACTTTACTAGGGATCTTCTTCAAGCGATGGACCAACACATTATCCACATTTTCCAAAGCTCCTGGGCTAGCACCATCCAGTTCCATTAAGATACTGTAAGAAGCACCATCGATCATCCCCAACTTGCGGTTGAGCTTGAAGCCGTCACTTAGATTTGCAGCTTGTAGAGACGCTCCCAAAACCACAGCTTCATCTGCGTCAAGATGCCTATCTAGATTCTTCTTCCCCAAGAAGTCAGAAAGAACAGCCTGGAACCAGCAAAGAGTGCAGGGTTAATACTTATGTTGAGATCATGCCCTGTATTTGGTGTCAGAAAGCTTGATGACACGAGATAATCCCGGCATCGTGAAAAGTAACTGATTAGGAGACTAACAACACACCTGTAACTTGGGCACCCGTGTAGCCCCACCGATCAGTTCAACCGCATTCACGTCTTCTACCTTCAGGCCCGCATCCGCAAGCACATCTTTGAGTGGGTTCAGAGCACGTTCCCAAAGATCACTGCAGAGCTCCTCAAACTTTTTCCTGGTGATTGTACTCCTGATGCAACAATATAACAAATATTAGGTTTCAAAACTAGTCGTTATAATGTGTGTTTAGAATAATAGGATCATTATCTTAATAATAGTGTGTTCAGCATATGATGCGGCTGTAGCGTAAGCCTTAGGTCTCATAAAAAGCGTTGCTTTTAGCGGCTTGGGAGATGTTTTTGTAGTAGCCACTCTACTTATGATTGTTCAAGGGTTTAAGCATCGCTTCAGACTTGGGGAATGATGAGGCCTAAATTATGTCGATTGTTTGTAAAAATTAGGCACAAGACAATAACAGAATGGTCAGTGAAAGGACTACTTCAAGAATCTCTCTCCTCGCTAATTCATTGGGTCAAGAGAAAATCCACTTGGAAAGTGAGTATAATGGCCTCAAATACTCTGAGACATCGCTAGTTTACGTTTTGAGGTCGCTGGCTGCACAAAACTTATGGTCGTTTCTGCCACTTAAGTTTGGTGGCTACTCTTTGATGCTGTTCAGATGCATTTAAAAACAGACACGCAAAAGTTCGTCACTGACTCTAAGTTGCCTCGTTACTTTTTATGCCGATTTAAGTCTATCATTTCAAGGTAGCTGAAAGTTCAGCTTTTCACCGCAAGAAGGAAAAATCTCGACTCTACACTCAGAGAAGTTCAAAATGAGAAACAAAACTTAAAATATGAATATTGGTTGCAAATCATCTCCAGCACATACCTGAAATCACGATCATCGTGGAGAGCTTCTACTGATAGAGGAGCTTCGGTATTTGCACTCAATATCTCCTTCGTTCGCTTCACTTGTTTCTTCAACTTTGCCATGGCTTTTGGATGCTTGCGGACGTCAAAGAACATTCCTACTTGAGCATTGAATTCTTTGGCAAAATAGTCCACGAGTCTCGCCTCCATAGTTTGTCCACCGAGTGTAGCATCCCATCTAATACCTTTCACCTGCCAAAACGCAAACCTCAGAATCTGACAGGCCCTGCGACGTGCTAAGAGAGTCAAACATGAGTGATGCGCCAAGTTTCGTACATTGTCCCATCACCGTACAATTTCTCACAGTGATCTTAGTACATAATGTACAAGAGGTTTATCACCTGAAATTGGTTGAACGAAGTAGTTTTGCCCCGTTCTTTGCCAGAGTAAGCAGAGTAGTACACCACAGCTGCGTACAAGCTATTTGCTCCCATGTCGTAAAAGACGACATGTTTGGTTTCGTTACCGAAGTCTTTGTCGATACCGTATTGTAAGGCGGCACCCGAATGCTCGTTTATCAACCCCAAGACAGTAATTCCTGCAATTTGTGCCGCATCAAGAATGCCCTGTCTCTCCGCCTGCCCCAAGTAAGGCGGCACGGTGATAATCGCATCCTTGATAACCCCTTTGGCATGCGCCTCAGCCAAATCACGACCGTAGCTCAGCACCATGGCCAGTAATTCTTCTGATCTGAAGACCGACTGCTTATCGTGCGTCCGAATACTGACAGCACCTCTGTCATCCTTGATCACGTCAAAGGGGAGGTAACTCGCATCCAGGGTCTGTTTCACGGACTCGAATGGCTTACCAATCATATCCCTCACCCGGGAGTACACCCTCTCGGGATACCGGGCAACAATCCCAGCAGCTTCTTCCGCCAACAGCCGATCACCATTCGAGAAGGCGACCAACGCCGGCGACTTTCTTTTGGACATTTCGTTGATCGCAATGGCGATCGGAGCTTGCCCGGGTTTGAGATTGACCACCGCGACCTTCATCCATTCCGAACCTAGATCTATGCTGAAAACGGCACCATTCGCAGGCCGCAGTAAGCACAATACGATCAAAACGACGGGCAAACTCGCCATACTCCTCCATCTCCTCCTGCCCCGCTCTTCGGGGGCCATTGTCCCCCAACTCGCTCCTCTTCGTCCTGCCTCTGCAGCTCTCCTCCACTCCCCCTCTCCTCTCCTCTCCTCTCCACCACTTCACCTCACCTCTCCTCACCTCACCCCACTGCCGCTTCCCTCCCCGGCCTCCAAAATCCGCGAAATTGCGGCTTCGGCCCGTCGGTGATGTGCAAAATGTACGTCGACCTCGTAACAATTTCCTCTCGCGCTGCTTCTGCTGGCGATTTCGCTCATCCCCGGGGCCGTGAACTCCCTCACTCCCTGCTCGGCCTCAGAGAATTTGTAATTCGCTGCTCTTGCTGCATCTCCAGAGGAGCCGATCCCGGGGCCAAGACTTTTCAGGACATTCGACGCAACGACTGCCGGCCCGACCGGTCCCATTTACCCTCCGGGCCATCTAACGGCAGTAGTTACCGCCCCTGCTCACGCGGTGGACGACCCCAGACCCCGCGGTTCCTCGGGTCGACCACAAGAAGCCAGCGACGTCCTTTCCGACCCGTCTCCCATTTTCCCCATTTTCCCCATTTTCCTCCTCTGGTTATGAATTCCGTTAGGGCCCGCCGTGCATCGCATCGTGCAGACGTGCCTTCTGGCGGCAGAAGTGTCCTCGATTGATTTGTTGTGTGATGTGGTTTCTGGCAGGAATTCCCTCTCCTCGAGGTCTGGCCCACCGTATCGGATGTGTCGTTGCCTGAGACGGTGCACGGGCATCATGTATCACTTCCCTCGAATGAATTTCGATTAATTTGGGAGCATCGGGAGACTTTATGCCACCTCGGCGTGAAACCTGCAAGTTCTAAGTTAATTGCAATAAGTTGCTCCATATTCACCGATTTTATCTGGACATGGTTTTATGATCCTTCATTTTATTGCTCCGTGCTGCGTTCACGACGACCTACCTGTAGCTTCGAGATGAGATTATTTTAGTTCCGGTGCCTTCTCAGTGCTTTAAAATGTCTCCCACGTTTCTTTAGAATCTATTTTTTTACCTGCACGCTTGCACTCCGTATTGCTCGCGATTTTGTCTCCATTACAAATGATTAAAGTTCTCTTTCTCGGCACTAAAATTTCTGAGTAATGTTCTTTGACAGAAGAGTGTTGTCTAAATCTCTAATTTAGAACTTAGAGCATCGCTTTCCACATTTGGCTGCTTGGAGAATGAGAATCGAAACCTGAACTTTGGAAATATTTTTTATAATGATCTGTAAATCCCTTCTGAATACTACTCCACATCTCACAATATATATATGACTACGGAAAAAAAAGGTATCTCTGCAAACTTTTCACCTGGCAGTTATAACCTTGACTACCCTTACGGACGTTGTATCATTCTCTATTTTGGTTTCTTCATCTAAAGATTGCGCAGTTATCAGTTGAAGTCCCAAAAAAAGATCATTACGCTTTTGAACCATTTTTTGGGGCTTATCAAGTTAAATGACTTGAAATAAAACTAGTTAAGAAAATATATTTTCTTTCGGTTCAGAATTTCTCATGTGAATCAGGCATCGAGATCCCCAAGTGAAGTGAAGCGAAGTACTCTATGTCGCACACTAGGATGATGCTCGCGTAGTTGTAAAATCTGTATAATATATATATATATATATATATGTGTATATATTGCAGAAATACACAGTACAGAAGCACAGAAGAAATTGGGCCCCTTCTTGGGACGATTTCAGAACAGTAGTTCTGACGTCGTGATTCTCCTGCGATCTTGGCTAGAGAAAAGGCAGAGGACTGTATTCACCGACGGGTAAAATGTAAAATCGTCATGATGTTCGAGAACCATCGCGGACCTTCCTGCAGGGAGGAGCATATTCGGCACCTAATTGTCCATCGTTCGCAGTCGGATGCGAGAAATAATAGCTCCGGTCGTTGGACAGGGGGCGGCTAATAACGGTCGGCGAGCACTTTTGCAACATGATACGATGGGCCCATCCGATTGGTCCGCAGGGCAAAACAGGTGTCACTGGGTCTGGCTTGGAGCACTCAGAGCTGGCCACGTGGACGACCTTTTTTCGTAAACTATTGGAGGCCATTCACAGACCGTGTCGGGAATACCTCCGAGAACTTAGTGCTCTCGTTCTTCAGGGGATGGTCTAGGGTTAGGGCGCTCACTAGAGCTTTCAGTCTCTCTGATCCGTGGAGTGTGTGTTGAACACAAAATTCGACAGATTTTCTGTCGGATTTTGGTTGAGCAAAAGGATATATTTGAGAATTTTCTGTCATCCGTCGGATATGAAGGCTTCGCATGTGCAGCGTTTAGCTACGCGAATTTTGGAATTCAGGGGGAGCATTTCGACACTGAATTGTGGATTTAGGGCTGTGGAGAAGAGCGGTACTGCAGTTTGGTACGATGTGGCAGAATCGTCAAAGTATGGCTCTCCGATGTGGAATCGCTGCTTCTCTTCGCTTTTGGGAAGGCGAGCGGGCGTTGCCTTGGGCTCCAGGGGAATCGGCTGCACTGTGAAGTCAATTCTCGAGGTTCCGTCCTCTGTTCAGCCCTTTTCTAGGTGCATGCTTCTCTCTGTACTCCATATAGTAGGAATCGCTTTATGTACGTGCTCCTGTTGCCTGCGCTGAGATCGGAGAGTCAGTTTTGCAGTTCTGTTAGTAAGCTGTATGACCTTCCCGATCTTATGTGATAACGTGAGTTCTAAACAGTTTGAAGTCTCCACTCGAATAGGATCTTTCCAACTTTGCTGTGATTCACATATTTATATTTTACGTTTGTGAAAGGCGTCCACTATGCAGTTGAGAATCTCACATTCGAATAGGTAGCATAATATAAGTAAATCGCATTGAATTGTAGATACCTGAGACAGGGACGTGTCTCTGAAGACTGTCTGACATGAATGATACGCTTGCAGAGTTCACATACGTGGATTAGCAAGTGGCTTTAGGAGCAGCAATGGAACCCTTGTGGATCTCGGAACAAGAGCAAGGCAGCAACAAGCGCGACGATTATGGACTATCGCACTCACGGGATCTTTGGTGGCAGGGTTCATTATAATTGTCCTCAACACCTTCCAAGAGAACATGATGTTTTACATCACTCCTTCGCAGGTTCGATTTATCTTTTGAAACTTTGCTAGTATGCAGGAAAGAGGCATGCAGCTGTGAAGAACTGAGGATAAGTTCAAAGTCAAGAGGTTGCCATGCTGTGTCATTTTGACTCCAAAAGCCTTTCAGTCGATCGAACTTGAGTAGACCTGACGAGTACAAATATTAGTTGGCTTCTTTTTAAGCTTTCAGTGACTCCCTATGGCCTAGTAGAGCATCAGAGAAGATTTTTTTTTTTGGTCCGGATTAAGTCTTATCTATCTTCATGCCACTCATTGGTACTTTTAACTTTTTTTTTAAAACAATCCTTCAACTTTCCATGTTTACTCTAATCTGGAGTTACAGAAGGTTTAGTCACACCTGTTGTGCGCGCATCGTTTCTTGAACGTGTTTAAAACATTAAACCTTTGTTCGTTCTATGTGAGTTAGGAACATTTTGAGCAAATTTGTAGGTTTTGTTTCTACTACAGTAACAGCCCTCAACACGTCATATAAAATTAGAACGTAATCATCCTCGCTGGTTCTTTGGATGACGTGTTCTATAACTTAAAACATTTGTATGTCGTGTGAGCACTGAAGGCCAAAGTGGAGCAAAAGCGTTAATATTAAATCTCCTGTTACGTGCAGGCGTTGGAAAAGTATTATATTGATCCGTCTAAGAATAAGTTTCGCCTGGGTGGCTTGGTGCTAGAAGGAAGGTATGATTAGCACTGCGTTCAGTCCTGATCTTGATAAAAATATGATTCTGTGTTGCATTTTATGTTTCTGGCATGAAGTAAGGTTACAAGATAAGTTTCGATGTTAGCTTTCATAACATCTGGGTGTTCGGCATACCCTGTCAAGTCCTTCAGTAGCCGTGAGGCGAATTCTCCGAGCTATGCAACTAGTGAAGTGGTGCCTATGGTATTTGTCAAGAGGCTTGCTTTGAATCTTGAAGAGTCATGGTAATTGATGATTGATCATACTGGTCACCAACGTTTTGGGTACAATTGTTTACGGTCATTTCAATGCTTTATACCCATGAACTCACACCTTGGTACCGTGATACAGTGTGCACCATTTTAAGAGCTCTGCTGATATGGAGTTCGTCGTCACAGATTTAGCGAATGAGGTACGACGAAGTTATTGCTTTTGTTACTGAAGAGTATGAAAGTCCAATTCCGAGCTGTCTGTACTTCTTCTTGAGATTTCCCATAAGTAAATTTTGAAATTGCACATGTTGTGTCATACCTAACTCAATATTGTTAAGTGTTGCCCGGCTTGTCTTCACTTAAAAATGGTTCTTTCAGGCTTTATTTGGCATACTATATTACAATCTTCTCACAGCTAAAAGTCTATAAAACTTTATGTAAACAGGTGCTTGTCCGATATCGTGGCGCACTGCCAGATTTGTTTCGTGAAGGACATTCTGTCGTGGCTGAGGGATTCTTACGACCCATCGATAATTATCCAGGCAGGCCCGATGCATCAAACGAAGTGAATGAAGATCTTGTTGAGAGGGCGAAAAAAGCCGGTTGCTATTTCGCAGCTGTCGACGTGTTAGCAAAGCATGATGAGGTGAGGACTTCTCGAGAACATAATCGCACTTCATGATGTTCATATTACCTCCTTGTTCATGTGATCCATCCTGTGCGAGCGAGATTAAGATCGGGAGGGGCTTTAGACCCATAAAATAAGTAGAGTTTCTTTATGAGACTACCTGATAGATGTTTCTTGTTCTTCCTTCTTGTAGCATCTCGCCCTTCTGCATGAAATATGTCTCATCATTAGCTGCTTTGCCACCAGAAAGATTTCGCTGTCATTTTCGTGACGGACTCTCATGAAATTTGTGAACAGAAATACATGCCGAAAGAAGTAGCTGCTGCCATCGAGAAAAATAAGGCTGCTCAAGATGTTTTGCTACCTTCGCCAATCTTAGCCACAACTGCAGAGAATGCATCTCCTATCCAGCCTGTCATCGAAACACCTCCAACAGCTGGGTCGAAGAAAAAGGGCGTGGCCCAAACACCTAGCAAAGCCCGGCAATATGAGATTCGACTCTGAGTTATACCTGATTTTTACTGGTGAAGAACTGGATGGACGATCCTATAAGGTCATCTCCCAATTGGTACCTTGGATGGCGCGTCAGTATGATGCGTATTGGATGTTTGGAGTGACACGGACTTGGATCATATTTTTGCTTATTTAGAGAAATTGAGTCATAGATATTTTATAATAATTTGACTGCAGATTCCTGTAGTATCAACAGAAGGGGTTAAGATGAGTTAACCCTTGAAGATTCAATTGAATCTGAAACCGGATTTGGGTGTACAAATAAGAAGTGTTCCACCAAATGCCTTCAATTATATCTGCTTTCTTGATCCAATCAAGTAAGTCGTAATTTTTTTGTACCCAGATGAACTCAAAGTTGGGGGATGAGTTCCTTGTGCACGAGTCCCGAAGCCCTTTGATAAGATCTCGCGTTAACTTTGTTTGTCACTTGTCTTGTCTGAATCAATAACTTAGCAGGCAGGGCAGGGGCTGTATGATGTTGAGTAGCCTATCACCGAATCAGTTACGAATGAGTAAACTTCATGGGTAAACTTATTTTTCACATTCTGACTGCATTTTGTTTGAGCAAGATGAAAAAGGAAGTGCTTGCGAGTTTTGGAAAATAGAACCCGCCGAATGAAGATCTGTAATCACTAGAGCCGATGCGTTCATCATTTCAGACAAGATGTATACTTTCTGTAATCACTAGAGCCGATGCGTTCATCATTTCAGACAAGATGTATACTTTGCGTACGTTGAATCTCTAGAACAGTATATGTTAGAAGAAGTGTCTAGTAGCCCTTCCGACCGTCGACGGGGTTAAGTCGACATATCTGCATATATAAACCGTCGACCCATACATAACATTTGGCGAAGGAGACTTACTTGAGTTCGAAGCTGTCCTGTCCTCTAGCGTATTTCCTGACGACCTTGTCACGCAAGCAGCGACCGAAACTGTGCTATATGAGTTTTTTCTACGTTCTCAATTACGTCCTAGACAACACCATCAAGCTGTCTGAAGAAGCCATGTTCCAAAGTTAACACCAGGAGATGTGCGTCTCTAAATTGGTACACTTTTCACTCCGTTCGTTTTCACGCATGTAGATCGTTTAGCCTGGCGTCATTCACACACTGAATACGTTAAGGTTGCAGCTGAACACCTCGGACTGAACCACTAGTTGGGATTGTTTATGATAACAGTGAAATTCAGGACCGAGCAATTCTCAATCAGTCTCATCTTTTTAACTGTGATAAGAGGATCTGTGCAGATTTCGGCCAGTGAGGAGTTTGGTCTGCTAGACTCAAACTCAACAGCTTACCAGGGACCACTCATATTTTTGGGTCAAGAGGAAAAATATATGTTGATATAGGCCATGTATTCCAGCCCTCCTCTTCATGCCCCAAAAGAGGTCTGAAACTACGAATGATATAAATCACCACTTTCAATTTGATATTATGGACTTTTCAAAACGTTACACAAGACACTACTAGAAGAGTAAGTTACATCTGAACAAGAGGACTTGCAAAGGCGAAACCGTCAATGTCAATGCAGAAGTACACATCAGACGAATCGTGCCGCCAACAATGTGGCCAGTTAACAAGAGAAAGTTCAAAGCAAGAAAAAGTGCGTCTTCCAAGCCCAGTTCTTCATCGTTATAAATCTTATCCAGAGCAGAGATCTGATATTATTTGGATAGCGGTGCTTCAAGACATTTGACCCATTGCCATGGTGAATGGCAGCCCGAAGGAGAGGGGTGAATCACTGCCGATGAAGTAAAGCAGATTATAAAACTAACTAGTCATCAAGTTAGAGAAGACCTGGAAATGTATAAAATTATGTCTTGGGATCAAATGGATCTCCGATTCATTGTCGTGAGGTGTATGAGCAGCCATTAATGTGACCGTCTGACCAAAACAGTACACGCCGTTTACAAGCATCTTTTGACAGAGTCCACTTTTCCGGGGTCGAGATGACGAGGCTGTTGTGGACAGAAACAAAACTCACCAACATTTTATCTCCAAATTAATCTATCCCGAATAATGCAGAAGCTGTACCGTTTTAACGAACATCATGAATCTTCTCTCTAGCAAGCACTGCTTAAGCTTCTAGGTTTTCTCCAGATAGATGAGCGAGGTTGTAGCTTTCTTATATTTCATTCTTTCCTTGAAGAAGAGGTCGGAGGATTGCTAATCCCTGCCAAAGGGCAATTTTCCCCACACCAAATAAGTAGAGGTTGGCGATAGAGGCAGGGGGTGAAAAATTGAGGAATAACATATTATTATAATGTGGAGCACTTTTTCTCATTCACAAGGCCTAATATGAATTGAAACGAAGCTGGTTGACAGAGGGAGGAAAGAAAGGAAAGGAAGCGACAGGATACGTAGACAGACGACGTACAGTACAAGGGGAAGTCTTGACGGTCACGGTAGAGGTAGAGGTAGAGGCAGAGGGAGAGGGGAGGGGTAGAGGTAGACGTACAAGGGGAAGTCTTGACGGTCACGGTAGAGGTAGAGGCAGAGGGAGAGGGGAGGGGTAGAGGTAGACGTAGCGAAACAATGCGCAGGTAGAATCAGGCGAGTAGCCGTCGGCATGGCGAGGGAGGGAATGGAGAAGCCGGTCGGATGAAGAAATCCACCGGTCCGGCGGTCTGTGTGGCTCAGGAACCGCCTACGCGCGCCGCCTTGCGCACTTACCTGCCTCCGCTGCCCTGCTGCTGCTGCTGCTTGCGTACCAAACAAACCTCTCGCCCTCTGCTGCTGCTGCTGCTCCTCCTCCTCCTCCTGCGGATGCTCTCTTCTCCTTCCCTTCCCTTCTCGTCTCTTCCCTTTTGGCCCCTTCCCTTCCTCCCTTCCTTCCTTCCTCCCTTCCTTCCTTGATTGCGGAGCAGGAAGTCTGGAGCAGCGATTTTCGTCTTCTGGCTCCTGCGCAACTTGCTTGCATGCTGTCATCTTTTCTTTCCTTCCCTCCTTCGTTCGTCGTCTCGGCCAGTCTCTTCCCTTCTCTTCTTCTCCACTCTTCTCCTCTCGGCCTCATCCGGATGCTTGGTCGGTCGTCGGCCATCGCTGTTCGCCGCTGATGCTGCGGTGCGGCTCATGTCCGTCTCACTCTTGCCATCGCATCGTCCTCGCCTCAGAGCAGCAGCCGTCGCGGGCGTCCGGAGCGCAGGGGATCCGTCATCGGACGCGAGGCTGGTGATTTAGCAGTTGCGGCGGTGGGAAAGAGGTTGAGATTGGAGTTCTTGAGGTGAGCCCGCAGTGAGCCGACGACTCGCGGGCGCGAGGTGCCGGTTGTGTAAGTTTTAGTTGGTGCATGGACAGTTAGCTTGCTGGGGACCGCGGGCAGGCGTTTGAATCTCGAGCGGTCGAGGAGCTCGAGAGCGACGAAAGTAGGGAGAGAGCGAGAGAGAGGGGGAGGGAGAGGTGAGGAGGATTGTGGGAGGCTCTCGCGCGGAGGAGGAGGTCGTGCGGGGGTGTGGGCTGCGGCCCATTCGAGGAATCGTGGCCTCGCTTTGTATGGAGTGGAACGCGGTCCCGTCAGGAGAAAGTAATTAGGGTTTGGCAAGAGACTCCGATTTGGAGCAGGAGTGGTGTTTTGCGGGAATGCTGTCAAGCTTAGGGAGGTGAGAGTGAATTGCACGAGCGAGACTGTGATTGTTGTGTGGATGTCTGGACAGGAACTTGTGGTGACGTTGTAATGGATGCGAAGGAGACGAGGCAATTGCGAAGGTTAGTGTCGGTTGAAGTGTAGGCAAAGAAGTAAAGGGTTGCCAGAGGGAAGTCAACTCAGGAGGCCAGGATTGTCGGAGCACAAGGAGGATGACTTCGACCGCGGGCCAACCGCAGTTCCGCTACACTCAGCCTCCTTCGAAGGTTCTACACGTCAGGAATTTGCCATGGGAATGCAGTTCAGAAGAGTTGATAGAACTATGCAAGCCTTTTGGGAAAGTTGTGAATACGAAGGTCAATGTCGGCGCAAATCACAACCAAGCTTTCGTGGAATTTGTAAGTATCTGCTTCCTGCGCTTCATCGAGATTGCATGCATGTCTCTTTGAAAACAAATGGTCGTTGACAGATTTAAGCAAGCCTCAACATCCCGGCCAGGACTTTTGTTGTCATCGCCCGTCGTAGGTTTTGCCATAGCACCAAATGAACAGCGTAGTGAAGTCCGCTTGCGCTTGAAAGTCGCGCTTATACGCTTATGCGTTCCTCTATCTGCTCTCAGTTGTTCCCGTCTGACCAGGACATTCCTTTCGAAGGAATCTTACCTTTTGAGCTGGTCATAGCTTCGTGTATCAGTATTGTGATTCTTTTTGAAGTCAAAAGACGCGCATGCGCAATTGTATAGAAGTGACATTTGTTCAGAAGATCACAAGAATTCGGCCCGATTCCTTTCTAGGTCTTGCAAAGAATTTAACCTAGCTAGTTATGAGCTGTCGTCTACACTAACCTCATTCCGGTGCCGTTCTGGTGGTGTCGAAGTGCTTAGTTTAGGATTGCAGATTAGCGGGTTCCACTGTATTCAACCTTGTTTCCGTTTTAAATAATGTTGCAGAGTTTCGCGATTGATTAACTACTGCGACATCAGCTGTATGCGATTCACCCTAGCCTTTATGTTTAGTTGCTTTCTCGTTCAAAGTCCAGCTCAACCTCTCTGTAATACTAGTTTTTGTTCTAGAAGCCACACTTACCGAACAAGAGGTAAGGTATCATTGATTCAGATCTGAATCAAAATCTGAATTATCTTTCCTCTGAAGTAATAGTCGGGTACGTAACTACTGACTGGTACCTCCTCGAAGTATGGTTTCGTTCTGCCAGGTCGAACGCTAGAACACGAGCCTTGTCGGGCAGTGCACATACTTCTGGCAATTTCTGACCTTTCGGAAAAATGTTTTCGAGAAAACTCTCATGACTTGATGGGTTGCCCTTTTCTCTCCGTTGTTGTAGGAGATATGTATAGATTGCTCATGATTTACGTACCGTTTTCTACCACCATTCAGGGCTGCTGACACACTAATTGCTTGACAACATACTGCTCTCTCGCAAGGTCCGAGCGGACTTGCTTAGATTTCATTGTAGATTCCTTCAGTGCATTGTGCTTGTACTGAAAGTGTTCTGATGTAAATTGATAACCTTTACCTTCTTTTCTAGTTTCCGCAAACGTTGTTGTATATGTCTTCCATCGCAAGTATGAGTTTCAGGAAGTACTAACCGTTGGTTTTGTCACTGTAGGCTGATCTGAATCAGGCTATAGCTATGGTCTCTTATTACGCATCCTCATCCGAGCCTGCCCAAGTACGAGGGAAAACTGTGTATCTTCAGTATTCCAATAGGCAAGAAATTGTCAACAGCAAAAATTCTGGGGACGTTGCCAGCAATGTGCTTTTGGTGACAATTGAGGGCGTAGAGGCCGGTGATGTCAGCATTGACGTTTTACATCTGGTAAGCTCGGATTTTTCGGTGAATGGATCAGGCACGGGGTGAGAACCAGTAGTGCTGTGGCACAAAATCCACCTGGGTTCAGGTTCGCTTTCGGATCAGTTTAATGTCTTATAGAACTCCGGGTCATTTGCATGCCCTTCACAAGTGACGGAGGCTTTAATTGTTAAAGGTTAAAGTGATCAAGATTTCCATACGTTAAGGTTTTCATGTGGACAGTTTTGCTTAGTTTATTTGTACTTCATGGGGCTCCATTTGACGCATGGTTTGTGTTTGACTTAAAGCTATATGGATTAGCAGGTCCATGTGACGGCCACATCCTCGATGGCAACCTGCTGCATGGGAGAACGCGCACGTGTGTTTGTTTCCCTCCACTTTGCCTAACCTCGCCTCTCGACCCTCCTCCTCTTTCAACCCTAACCCCTGGCGATTTGAGATTGATGTGGACTCATCTCAGAAATCTTTCCTCATAGCCCCATAAACCCCGTAGGCTTTCATACTGGATTGAAGTTGAAAGCTAGTTGATGTGTCTGAAAGCGGAGTCTTTTGGATGAGGGCTGACATTGTGCGTCGCAGCGTATTGCCTTTGCAGGCTGGTTGTTTCTTTGTGCCGTTGGTATGCTCGAGGATTTAAGATTGTGCTTGGTCGAGTGTTACTAAATTTCGCAGGGTTTTCGAAGTGAGGAAGAAGAGAAATGCTGACTGCTGTACCTTGGATTTGTGGCTGTTTCAGTTTGTTGACAAGGGGTACTCTAACTGCTGTGAAGTGTGAACGCTCAATTTCTTTAATCGTACAATTACGTATTGTTATCCATGCAGGGACTTTGGGATAGGGTGATTACTGATGAGATTGTGTTTCCTGCTGCGGTGCGCCCCTGCTGTATGCTTTTTCTCCGAGTAGTCAGCCCCATGAGATATTTGTCAGTCTTAGTCAGGTTTCAAGGAGGGGTCAGTTCACCATACTTACTCATGTTTGGGTTCTAAAACCGTACCAACGTGAGCCCTGCTGGTCTGTGCTTCAGCACCACCTAGCGAACCCTGTAGATGTGACTGCTGCCTACGGTTGCCATGTTCTTGGAAAGAGGATTGCGGGGTTACGATTTGTGTGGAACGCCTTTGCTAAGAAGGGTTTCAATCTGGGAAACGGTGCACAGTAGAGAACCTTCATCAAAGGTGAGTGGTGGAGTCAGTTGTTTAACCATGGTAAGTGGTGCTGCAGGTATTTTCCGCTTTTGGCTTTGTGCATAAGATAGCAACTTTTGAGAAAACCGCTGGCTTTCAGGTGTGTACGACTGGCTTTCAGGTGTGTATATGCTAAATTAACATACACGGGAAATCTTGTTTGAGTTTGCAACGCAATTCATTTCCTGCCTGATCTCATTTCTGCAAGCTTTCTCGTTTTGATACTTCCCTTCCTCGCAATGTTGACGACGTTACTTCTAACTTTGAGGAGATATGTTTCTTGCAGGCCCTTGTTCAATACAGTGACTCCAACACCGCCGCCTCGGCCAAATCAGCACTTGAAGGACGTAGCATTCCTAGGTAACTAGAGCTACCTATTTACTGGTAGCTCGCTGCCGTGCTGGAAAAACAACCAGGGTGTGCTTTTCCTCCGAAATGTCATCTGATAACAGAGTAAACGATGAATGGAGAGGAGGGTGCAGAATGATTATGAGGACCTCCGGCCAGTTCGAGAATGTAGCATGTAGAGATCACCCGAGTCTTGTCTTAGCCTTTTGTTCTCATTTTTTTTTTTAGAAGTGCACTAACGCAGTGTTCTATGTACTGCAGATATTTATTACCAGACCACGTTGGGCCTTGTCATTTACGCATCTCTTTCTCGGCACACAATGATCTAAATGTGAAGTTTCAGAGTCATAGAAGCAGGTGCAGAGCCGCTTAGCCGTTTGAACTATATTGGACTTTGAAGTCTCTGGCAACCTGTTCGAATTTGAGCTATGATTTTCGCAGCTTCACACGTGATGTAAATGTACACGGTGGAGGGTTGGCTTTTACACTAATTTACTTTTGTTCTGTCTAACAGGGATTACACGAATCCCTACTTACCTGTCGCTCCTTCTGCTATAGATGGTAACGGGCAGGTGAGAAGAATGTTTGTTGATTTCGCATGTCCAATCCCACACTGTTATGTGGTTCCTGATCGTGTCCATTTTCCCGCGACAGTCCAAGGGCAATTTAGCTATCTATTTCTTGGTAATAAATATACTTCGTGTGGTTATACGCTGTAGTTTGGAGTCGGCCCCGACGGTAAGAGAAGAGAACCTGAAAGTAATGTGCTGCTCGTTTCTATCGAAAATATGCAGTACGCGGTCACCATCGACGTCCTCCACACGGTAACTTTCAATTGACCACAGTAATCTCACCTCTAGATTTCTCAATGGTGATTCTAACAGTGCAAGTTTCGAGCTTGTGGTTAAGCTGATACTCACCTCTCTCCATTCCACAGGTATTCTCTGCCTTTGGTACTGTGCAAAAGATAGCAATATTTGAGAAGAATGCGGGCTTCCAAGCCTTGGTACAGTATCCAGGTAAAGTTCATAGCTAACCACCGTCCACCAGCCCCTGTTGGTATATTGTTCTCTCCTGTGTATCATACTATGAACTTGTACATCTGTGAGCTGCCAGTTTGTTATATTTGAATGGGAATAGGCATGTTTTCCACCATAATGAGCTCTGCACATTCCGGAATAATGCGCAGTACTTAAACTGGATTCAGATTGGTGTAGACGACATGTCGATCAGCGAAGTTGATGTCTTTTTTAAGTTGAGAGGTCGTAATATGCAGCTAATTTGGTGCATTCCTTTGTTAGAGAAAGTTTTGATTCCTCAAATAGATGAAGACGATGGAATCAACCATGAGAAGAAACATGTTGTTTACTCTTATGCTGAAATCAAATGCTTGAACTAAAATTGGGCGACTTTTTACTCGTCATTACTCCCGTGTCCATTGAGAATCAAGCGAATGTTGATCATTTTGAAAGCACAGATGAAGTCCCTTTTTTATTTTCGCTCACTGATTTTTTTGTGTCACGATGGCAGACGTGCCAACTGCAGTTGCTGCTAAAGACGCACTAGAAGGACACTGCATCTACGATGGTGGCTTCTGCAAGCTTCATCTTTCATATTCTCGGCACACTGATCTCAATGTAAAGGTAGTGCACACCCTGGGAAGGTAGTTGATGGCAGGACCCATTGCTTGAACCATACGGCGAAACTCCTCTTGAAGGACAATGCTTCTCCCATCAAGTCACGGACTGGTGATTGATAATCATCCCGTACACATCACACGACCTGATTTTTACCACTTATTTGCCAATGTGTTTTGTGTGTTACGCTCGCACCCTTAGCTTTAGCTTTCCCTCTTCTCTCAGAGTCGTCCGCAGCACCGAGCTTTGTCAGGTGCTGTTGGAACATACTAACTTCAAGTGACCTGCTGGTGTCTGTTTTGGTAGACATATCTGTGATATGGCAAATGTCGATGTCTGGTAGTGTATAATTCCTTTGTCTGATTCGAAAGGCAACCTTGGGTGGTGGTGGGGTCCGTCCAGCCAGTTTGGAATTTGAAGTATTGACACAAAGTGCATGAAACGCTCGTGCTTCAAGTATCTCTGCCTCATAAATCTTGTGTACGTTTTTGTGATGCAGGTGAACAATGATCGGAGTCGAGATTATACCAATCCAGGTCTTCCCGCTAATCAACAAGCCGTTTTGGGACAAGCACCGGTAGCTGGCGGATCAGTCCTGGATGTATCGCAACTTTCGCCAACAGGATCGGGGGGCTACGGAGGAAACCAATTCGGAAGTGGTGTGCACCCACCCCAGAACGATGGAGGTGCAGGAATGTCACAGAGGCCCTGGGAGTACGACCAGACGCAGAATGGTCCCAAAGCCCCCGTTGGGCCCCCGATGGGCGGGGGGCCCCCTCTTCTAGGACCCGGTAGCATGCCGGGCAACATGGGTGCGCCTATGTCTGGTCCTGGGCCAATGTACAGAGGCCCTCCTATGCCATCACCTCCAGGTGGCCCTGCTCCTCCAGGTGGCAGCGGCGGGATGATGAGCAATCACGATGCACCCTTCCAAGGATCCGCTTCTTCCATGTCAATGGGGCCACCTCCCCCATCCCACATGGGCCCGGGTATGTTGCCCCCTGGCCCAAATTCACACATGGGACCTCCCCCTCCAGGTCATGGCATGCCACCTCATTATGGCCACCAACCTATGCACCAGGGGCCTCAAGGAATGCCTAACAGTGGTGGTCCTCCCGTCTATTACATGTAGAATTATTCTTGAGATTTTGTACTTATTCTTCATGAGAATTTTTAGTAAGTTGTGAAAAGAGTTGCAATTTCTCGTCTATAATCCGTGTGGTGACTGGCGGATGCCCACTTTCGTTGTGCGGCCGGCGCAGAGTATCAGGCCGATGTTTCACTTATATGAGTAGGATTTGTATATTTTCCGGGAACTTGTCCTCAGACTTTCATCTCTTCCCGCTGGGGTTTATCCAAATTTTGGATGGTCTGCCGATGAGAGTTCTATGTGAATCTTGCTTCCTCATGACCGCATGCCGTTTTATGAAGTGCCGTACTGTGGATGAAAATGACCTGCGTCTCTCCCGAGAGCTTTGCAGTTCTTTGTCGCTGGCCTTGAATACCTCCCACATGAAATTCGCTCACCCTTCCGTCAGACTTCTCAACTGGTTACATTCGGGTACACGACTACAAAAGCGACTGCAAGCTTACCGCTTTGTATTCTCTGGACGCAAGCATCGCCGTGAATAATAGCGGAGGATGTCAAATATTGAGATTGTTCGAAAATTGGGTCGAATGTAAGGGACGAGAGACGCCCTAGCGAAGAAAATTGGAAACAACGGAGTGAGAGGAACTGTAAGTACACTGCAAGGGATGAAAGACTTAGGTGATATCTTGGGTGAAATCATGGTATGTTAAAACCCGCCGTCAGAAAGGTCATGTGCTCGACTACTAGCATCAACAAGTATTCGTCAAAGTAAAATCGCATGCTAGTATATCACCGCTCTCACGTACATCAGAGAACGATCTAGCCTCCCTGCTATCAAAGAATATTAGATGTATTACTGAGAAAAACAATGCATAGATGAATCAGTGTCAACTAACATTCGTTCTTGTTGAAGCTAAACGGAGTGAATGTATAATTGGTTTGAAATTTTTAGCCCATCAACGGAAATGGTAGAACTTTAGTTCTATCAAATATCGTCCAGCAAGTCAATTCTTAATCTAGTTAGTGGAAAAAAGAGAAAAGAAATTTGTGTCGAAATATTAGGTATAATATTATTGATAGTTATTGGGTTTTTTTATTTATCATACGTTAAGATTTACGTGGAAAGTTCAAAAGGAAATCTTTTGAAGTTTCTTTACAAAACTGCTAAATACTAGTAATCATTGCAAAATTCAAGGCACCAACATTCTAGTTCCGTATCAAATCAAATACGTACTTTCTGTGAACAGTCTGAAGATATATCAGCTCTCGTAGATATAATTGAATTCAACGAGTACATTTTCTCCGTTAGATACTGCACTCTCAATTCTTTATTTGTACGAGGATCCGTATGAGGTTCAAAATAGATGCACCATTCAAATTCATTTGCCCTATTTTGGAGCTTAGAGTACATAAAAAAGTTGGGGAGCGTCAATAAAATTAAGATTCTTTTAAACCCAACATAATTTATGAAAAAACTTGCAAACATACATATGACCAATCGATCTGATTATTGACGTTTGCTTTGTACCAGTTACCATTCATTTATACATAAGAGATAGATATCTCTCGATAGTTATTAGATCACACCTTCTACTCTTGGCTATGCGGCCTAGTTGTTCTCTAGCGTTAGCTTTGTATCTGTGTTGATGTTTCTTCTACTCATTTTCATTCCATGCTTCTAAGTTTTTCAGGATTCTTTATTTCATAAGAGCCGTAGATCATCTTCAACTTTTTTTAAAGTGATATGTGAAGGAAGCAATGATACCTAGGACTATGATGTTGTGACTGGCTAACTCATCACATCAATTCGATATGCTAAAAATACACAAAATTTAGACATAGATCTTCAACATGTCCATCGGAAGAAAATTGGATGTATCCGCTATTCAAGATAACAAATTGCAATCATATGTATACAAGATACATATAATCAAATCATATACACGTATCAAATGTGATCATAAATGAATATTAAAAAATTTAGAAATTACTTGGAATCAAGAAAAGAGGAGAATCATGATTGGGCGAGAGGAGCTGGAGTAGTTGTGCGTAGGATCCGACAGACAATAGAAAAGGTAACAGAGTGACCAGGGGATAAACAAACGCTGGCAATAGCTGTGGGCCACATGTCGAGCTGATATTCGCCTGTCAGTGTGGACAAGGTGTCAAGCCTATGGATGCTGAGCAGGCGACGAGAGGGAGAGGACGATAAATTTCTTCAAAATGTAAGGGGCTGCTCCAATTTGACCCTGTGAGGAATGGTGGTTCGACCGGTACGGCAGTAGCCAAGCTTGTGGTCTTGTGGACATTGCTCGCACTGGGATTGTGGAGTTCAGGGTTCTCGCTCAAAGGCAGTAAGCAGATCCAGAGGTATCGTGGCGAAGTCTATCACTGTCACCAGGGTTCTGTGGCGCCGAATCTCGTCCTCTTGTGGTCGATAGATACCGGTGCTTTTCTTGATACATGTAGCAACCTGACTCGTGAAGGACCTGGGTTTGGAACAAGCGGAGGGATTCGAGTGTACTGCGAAGTTTTCTTTCGCTTTATTGTCTGTTTCTTTCCGTTTCTTTAACTTTCTTACGAGACTATTCCACAAAGGTCGTCGTCCTCGTTGGAGAAATTGGTTGGTCATGCAGTAGTGCCCTTTGTCGTGGAAATAATCCTCAAATGTTTGGACCTCTGGGCTGATCAAGAAACTCTTTTTTTTACTCTTTATCGTATCAGACAGGAGGGATGGAAAGAGATTGCGAGACAATCGTGATTTCACTGAGGTTCATTGCAAGTAGGCATGAGAAATGCTCCCCCAGATTCAACTGAAAGTATCCTGGATAACAATTTCATCATAGTATCGGTTCTTGATTCTTTACCTGAGGCAAAGAGGTAGCATGTGGAGGTTTTTCCCATTTTGATCTGTGAGTACGTGATGCATGTCAAATGTGAAGTGCTTCGTGTGCCTGTCCCTACTCATAACTTTGCCCTCCAGGGCATGAGATTTGTCATGCCTTATCTTCATTTGTTCGTTCCGTTGTGCATATTCTTTCAATATATCGATTAGTGGAAGATTTTTTTCATTACATTCTTTAAGATAGAGTTAAGTCTCCTTCTCCATTTACGCCTGGTTGCGAAGATTGTCCTGTCACTCATACATTCTGCCGAAGAAGTATTTGTCAGATTGTCAGAGATTAGCTATCGTGTTGGAGGTAATTCGATTGTTGAAATTGTAAACATAGAGTTCAACAAGGTTCGACAAGGCTGTCTCCTTAGTGCTGTGGAGGCGAGGTTTAGGAGAAAGAGATATTTAAGCTGTGTAGAATGAAAGAGGCCTATCCCAGTAAGATGACTGAAGGAGATGTGATTCAGTCCACCACAGAGCCTAGTGAGCAGGGGTTGGGTACAGGAGTTGTGAGAGAGAATGTTGAGATATTCCCCCACGAAAGGGAGCCTGATACCAGCGGAATGACAATAAGTCCTTCTCGTCCTGCTCGCACACATGCTCCAGATTTTATCCATGTAAGTGCATCTCCATAGTTGGCAATTGCGTCAGTTATAGGTGTAGAAATTAATGGACTAACTATTGAAACACATACCACTACTCTACTCTACCTGCACTGATATTTAAGAAAGTGATAGGCTATGCGAAGCAAGTAGTAAATGCGCTAGTGATTTCCCATAACATCTCCAGGACGAATAGTTCTAGTTTGCATGTGAGACCAACTTAAGTGACTGTTGTTGGTTATGATATATGTCCTCATCTTTTAGAAAGTACTTAGTGGAATGACTCTTATATTTCTGAAAGACTATGTTTCATATGTTGATACAAACACTGTCAGGCTAGCATTTTGACGAGTATTTTTAAATTTCTATTTATTTGTACATACATACACATTGTGTGTGTGAGAGGTGTTTGTCATGAAGGTCCTCCCACCCGTAGATTGTATCAAACACGCGCTGACTAATGATTATACTCGTGTATGAAGTTGTGGGACTGCTACCTTATTGATATCACGGTGATATATTTACGAGGAATTTTTCATCAGATGTCTCTCGGTTGAGAAATGTGCTTTGCTACATGAGCTGTGTAACTTAGTTGCTATATTGATGTAAACAGATGAAGGACAGGGTTGATGAAAGTATAGATGGGGAATCGGGACATAAGAGTAGCGGAGGAGGATCATCAGGAGTCCACTCCTCCCAAGAAGACTTGGAGAAGGTAAATGTCTGTTGAAATTCTAGCATTGGTTGCTCCAATGCTGTGATAATGTGTTACAATCTATGTCATTTCATTAGGATTTGTCTGATTTATGATTTACTGTAACCAATGGCTTCATTCCTAACCAGCTGGTGTTGTTTAGAACCTCTGCTTTGGGTCATGATTAATCTCCAGGTCTGAGACATTACTCTTCTCAATTCAGAAAGGTTCACTTTGTGTTCGTTCAAATGGCCTCAGATGTTGATTTGACGTGAAATATGCATCTCAGCTTGCGCCTTGTGTGATGGTAGATATGGGCTCTAGACAAAGCACCTCCTCCGATCAAGATCCATCCAGACGAGGAGGATCTGGAGGCATCATCCCACGAACTTTCACCCCCACCATCTCCGAAGCGCATCAAGAACCTCATTGAGAATGACAACCTTATGAAGCGGCCTTTCAGCCCCATCGTTCCCCAGGATTCAATTTAGTGTACAGTAACCTATGGCAAGATTCTTGAACTCAGCAAAGACCCACTGTAGAATTTACAAGCCTGATCATAGACCGAGATAATTACACTGATTTCGCCGCAGAAAAATGAACGATCATTCTGGTTGACTTGAGGGGTAGAGATTTCTGCACCCTCATTCTCAGAAGACTGTTGGCCGCTTTTCACCCGGCGATATTTCCATTGGTGCCGGCTCCTCGTTCAGACAATCGTGCCTTCCGTGTATACGTTTTTGGGAGCCTATTTATGAGCTCAAGTGCACATAAGTCTGGAAGTGATAGACCTGTGGAGACGAGCTATCTATCCGTAGATGATTTTCCGCTATACATCTATTGTTTCTCAGTACCGTAAGAAGCCAAGATGAGGAAAGAACCTATTTTCTTTCCGTAGTACAGTACTTTCATTGTGTAACAGATTCAATCAGAGGATGTACAGTTTTTATTAAGTGCCCGTGAAGATTCCTCTGGACATACATTATCCACAAGGTGTCTGCATCCAAATGCTTGCTCACAGTTTCTGGTTTGCGCATGGTGATGGTGAGAGTTCAATTTGAAGGTCAAGAAATTGTCGGCAATATGTTCCAGCATGCCTGGTGGAATACGACTGGATCGCACTTTTGATCTCCCGTGCAACAGCAGTCTAGTCTACTGAAGCTCTAGTTTTGGTGACTATCTACTCTCGTGCTTAATCATGTGTAGGACCACTTCCAGCACAGGTCTCTTTTACTGTTCTAGATCTAAGATCTGAATCTACCCAACGTACACTGTTTCGACGGTTTGATCGGACCGGAGGTTTTAATCTGTGCATCGTTCTCTCTTCTCCTTCTGTATGCTGCATGTGGATGAAGATTGACCACTCTTCGATTAGTAGTCCAGTCGCCTCCACGAAGCTAGTTTTAGTTGATTCTCTTTCGCTCTAAAAAGGTATTTTATTTTTTGGTCGTCGACCTTGTATGATGTAAACATCCTACATCCGAGTCCACAATTGACAATTTTCCTGCAATGCGATTCATTCCTACATTTTTCAAATTCTGAATCTGTTTTTCTGGCATACTGAGAATAATCTATCACTTCATAATTAACCGTAGAAGGCTACCGGGTTTACAGGGTTCCATGCGCCTCGAAGTTTATAGAAGATCCTTCTTTACTGGAATTGGAAGGATACTCTGTTGATTTTGTGTTCTCGTAAGAAACCGATATTCGCCACGTCGAAGACTGATGTGAATGAATACTGAGTATAAAATGATTTCGTTCTGAAATTTCGAGGGTTCTGTCTTACCAAACCTCGCGCCACCTTGTCCGGTCCACGATGAAAAATCGACAGCACCATACAATGAACGTGGAGGAGATCCAAGAGGCTCTAATTACTTCCAGAATCTGCTCGATATAGCTGTAAGCCCAGATACACCGAACTAATAGCACTCACTGTTACGACGAATGCCCCCAATATCCGGGACTGCCGTTTCATGTCGGAAAGTCACACCAGACTACGAAGAGGAATAAGGTGATGCAGCAACACGTTAGAGGAGATGCTGATAGTGCAAATAGCTTGGACTACCACGGGCAGAGACAGCAGGCCATCCTACCAAACTTGAGCATGAGTTAGCCTTTGTCCAAAGCTTCCCTCATCACCTGTACATGGTGCAATGAGGAATGCTTAAGAGGTTCCAGATTGAGGGAGGTGCCCAATTTTATCAAATGGTTGGGGAATAACAAGGCGCACATGCAGGGCTCTGAATCCTTTCACAATATCCCAAGTTCCAAACTGTTTGTGAATCTGTGATGTACGGACAGTTCTCCAATTTGACGGGGAAGGGGACCAACCATGTTGTGACACAGGAAGATCATGTGCAAATCAGCTCTTGTACGGAGATTTCGGTGTGAGAAGTATAGGACAGAGACATCAACAGTGAGTGATGAAGTAAACCCAAATCAAGGGGGTTGAGACAATCTTTGATCACGAGGTTGTTGGTGAGTTGCCCTGTAAAAAGGGGAAGAAAGGAAAGGCTCCAACGAGGAAGTTTCATTAGTCCGTGATGTCGCTAGATCCGAGATCTTCCGGAGAAATCCGCGGCCGTAACCTGATCGAGAGCCACGAGGTCATTGCGTTTCCTCGTGCCGCAACCGATTCATGGAATTTGGGACCTTCGGAAACCTGCATACGAACCTTGTAATTCTCTCCCAACCTCATTCTGGACCCCTTCGAAATTCTCGCCAGCTCTTGCATGGTGCACTCGGAATTTGTCCTCGTTCGATCACAGGGACTTCAAAGATCTTGAATACTGAATCTGATATGATACCTCATGAATCTTCAGGAACCTGCAGATGAGCGCGCATGACCTGAATGGCGGACTAACCTTCGCTACCCGTCCCTACGCACGTTCAAGTCCATGGTAAAAGACCAAGCCCGGGGACCCAAAAGGTCAAAAGGCTAAAAAAGAGAATAAAAGCTAAACCACAAACAAGTGAAAAGACGCCAATATGCAAGTAGCTAATAATGTTCCTTATATAACAGACTAAATCAAAAAGAACTAACTGGAATACAAACTATAAACTTTCCACATCTATGTTATGAGCAAGCTTAATGTTTTCGTACCTAGAACAAGTAACAAATGCATGTTCTTCATCCTCAATGTACCCACCGTCACATAATCTACAAATACGTTCACTCCTATAAAGATTAACCCAACGTCTTTACTCAATTCCAAACCTATGAGATCCAGTTCTATGCCTAGCAATAATATGATGTAAGAACGTAGAGATTCTGCAAGTAGATAATCCTATTCACAATAAACAAGCATAGGGTTCACATGAAATTGATAAAATTGAATCTTGATGTCGCGCTTGCTCCAAATAATGTTCAGAAACTGCTCCTTTAGACATTCAAGTAATGTTATAGATTACAGGTTCCAATCGCGTTCCGCCACATTCCACCTCAAAGACCAAGTATCACACCCGCTAACCATCTTTGGCATGTGTGACACTCAAAGCTTGAAAAGTAAGGCGAGAAGCATCAAAAGTTCTCACACTTTTGATCTAAGTGATGGTCAAGTATAGAGCTTCAGGCTTTTGATGTAAACAACCTATTTCTGCAAATAATAGCATATGGAGTTTGGTTTCTCACACTCAATTCTTCTTGTAGAAATATCTTCTGCACCCTCTCCACACACTATCAACCTGTCTTCTTACAACCAAAACCCCACACTTGGATTCCCTACCGCCAACATTAAGCTTCTGAATAAAAATTTCCTAAGACTCCAAGACACTAGATGAGCACTTCTACACTGATTTAACAATGAATATAGAGCTTTGTAATCACTGTCTACTCTCTTTTGCACGCAAAGTGCCTAACTATAATCATTAGAAAAATCAATGCCTAAATATTTATAACTCTTCAATTCTTCTAATTGTAGATCCTTGTAATCGAAGTAGAACTTGGATTTAGTGTCCACTATCATAACTTTTGACTTCTCCATATTTAACTCCATCTGATTCTAGGTACAAAAGTTAGCCAGAGTGTATAGATGTTTTTGTAAACTAATAGCATCACGTGCTAGTAATATGATATCATCTGCATAAAAGAGAGCTTTGATAACAAAGTTTTCAAGCTTGACAACTTCATTATCACATGCCTCTAACCACTCTTCGATATCATCTATAAAAACTCCAAATAGAGTAGGAGAGATAGTAAACCTTGAATTACTTCAATGGTACTCAAAACCTCTTCAGTTTAAGAGGTGTTGATTTTGGGTCAAACAAAATGATATAACGTGGTCGCATCTCCTAGAAAATCTAATAGTACTCCAATGATTTGCAACCTTTTTCATAATAGCTCACGATATACTGTGTCAAAAGCTTTTTATAAATCAATGAAGGCGCAAAAAAAAACTTTTTTATTGCCCTTTGACTTTTGCCATAAAAACCTGCTTGAAACTGTGCTCTCTTTCGATGAGATTCAGTCCATGTGCTCAACTTTGACTCCATCAATTTGCCAATAATCCCACAATACTGCGTGATAGTTTGTCACCAAGTCTTTCCTTCCTGACTTATGAATAGGAAAAATCTTCCGTAAAGACCAAGTTGAAGTAAAATCATACATATCAGCATTCTCTAACGCTTCAGTGAGTATTGGTCCAATAACATCTACTCCCCACTTCAAAAGTTCAATAAATAGACCATGCAAATCCTTTGATTTATCATTTGCTAAATTTTTGACTTGAGTCATCACCTCTGATTCAGAAAATAAACCAAATATTCCTTCACAACAAGGCATTGGTGCAGCGTCATAAAAGGAATAAAGCTTTTCAGCAAAGGCAATCAAACTCTTGAAATCAAGAGTAAATTTAGAAGACTATACTGTTAACCGTCACTAAAAAGTATTGGGATTTCACATCAACTCCTTTGTCAAGTATTCTTGCTTCGTATTCAAAAAAGCTCTTTTCTAAGACTTCACCAAGTCTTTGTAAAGCCTTGTCAAGATAAGCCCACTTTGGAGATCCAAAAACTTGTGATCTCATCCTTGCTTGCTTGCAATCAAAGTCAAACCATCCATTGCAAGAAAGACCCCTAGGTCTCCGATCCTTGTGCCGCAAAAAGAACTTAGAAGTAGTGTCTTTGAGCAACTCTATTAGTTGTGCACTCGCTGCATGTGGATCAAGGCTCCATGAAGTGTGGGTCAAAAGGTTTTGAAAATGTAGCATGGAATGTTCTTTCTTACTATGTTCTAAACAAAACTTGGGAGAAGCTAAAACAGAATGGCATGGAGAGATAGGGATTTTTTTTACTACAAGAGAGGAGATAAGAGAGGTGCATAATCTGATTCTGGTTGAGGTTCTAGGATATCAAAATTTGAAATAAGAGAGCTACTAGTGGCCGAAGATAAATGGTAAATGGTAAATGGTAATAGATCAAGCCCGGGGGACCCAAAAGGTCAAAAGGCTGAAAAACACAATACAAGCGACAGCCACAAACAAGGGAAAAGACCCCAAAGGCCAAACCCTAGCAGGATAGAAGATAATCAATAGTGCTAACATCTGTAGAAGAAAAACACGTATATGAAAGGGAGTTGGAAAAGAAATAATTACCGTTGAACACTTTCAAATTACATGTGGCTCCAAAGGATATGCAGTGTTCTATCAAAGAATTTGTTGAAATATTAGAAGAGTTTCTAAACCACATACTATCTTCAAGTTCTTCAAAGTAGAGAGAAGTTAAGAAATCCCCAATTTGGGTAAATTGTGCACAACATATTTGAGCATTGAAATCTCCAACAAGAAAAACTTCACCTTGCTCTAATAATTGGGAATATCTCCGATTAGTCTATGGAATGATGGAGTCTGATTGCAAGTGTGTGTGAAGTAGATAAGCATAGACAATGGTGCAAAGTAATAAACAGCCAAATAACTATAAAATCCTCTAGCCAATCCTAGACGAAGTCAATGATATTGACCTCCAATATCCTGATCTTCTATT